ACCGTGAAAGTGCACAATCCTTTGTTTTCTGTTGGCAAATTGTTACGGAATAAATTAATGCAACGTTTTTAATTGGTCATAAAAATGATAGGAATTCTTTTGAACGTTGTGCACTTTCAGGTCCACAAAAACATATAACAAAGGAGTCTAACCGGTTTCATAACCATTCCACTCAATTAACTATGATATAACGAACAAATTTCCCCAGTTCTACTGTACCAATACTATGCTGAATAACTTTCGCCAATCTTTGGGCAAGTACTTCATGGCTGAATGCCATATACACGACAAGCCCACAATGCCTTGCTAGTACCTGCAATGCCCTGCCAGTACGTGTACTATGAGTAGAAGGTGTACTAGCTCTAGTAGCTGCAGTAGCTGTATTATGTGTAGTAGGTGTAGTAGGTGTAGTAGCTGTAGTAAGTGTAGTAGCTGTAGTAGCTGTAGTTGGTGTAGTAGCTGTAGTAACTGTAGTAGCTGTAGTAGCTGTAGTAGGTGTAGTGGCTGTAGTAGGTGTAGCAGGCGTAGTGGCTGTAGTAGCTGTAGTAGGTGTAGTAGCTGTAGTAGCTGTAGTAGCTGTAGTAGCTGTAGTAGGTGTAGTATCTGTAGTAGCTGTAGTAGCTGTAGTAGGTGTAGTAGCTGTAGTAGGTGTAGTATCTGTAGTTGCTGTAGTAGCTGTAGTAGGTGTAGTAGCTGTAGTAAGTGAAGTAGGCGTAGTATCTGTAGTAGCTGTAGTAGGTGCAGTATCTGTAGTAGCTGTAGTAGGTGTAGTAGCTGTAGTAGCTGTAGTAACTGTAGTATCTGTAGTAGCTGTAGTAGGTGTAGTATCTGTAGTCGCTGTAGTAGCTGTAGTAGGTGTAGTAGCTGTAGTAGGTGTAGTAGGCGTAGTGTCTGTAGTAGCTGTAGTAGGTGTAGTAGGTGTAGTAGCTGTAGTAGCTGTAGTAGGTGTAGTAGCTGTAGTAGGTGTAGTAGGCGTAGTATCTGTAGTAGCTGTAGTAGGTGCAGTATCTGTGGTAGCTGTAGTAGGTGTAGTAGCTATAGTAGGTGTAGTAGGCGTAGTGTCTGTAGTAGCTGTAGTAGCTGTAGTAGCTGTAGTAGGTGTAGTAGGCGTAGTGTCTGTAGTAGGTGTAGTAGGTGTAGTAGGTGTAGTAGCTGTAGTAGGTGTAGTAGCTGTAGTAGCTGTAGTAGGTGTAGTAGCTGTAGTAGGTGTAGTAGCAGTAGTACTTGTAGTAAGCGTAGTGTCTGTAGTAGCTGTAGTTGGTGTAGTAGCTGTAATAGGTGTAGTAGGTGTAGTATCTGTAGTAGGTGTAGTAGGTGTAGTAGGTGTAATAGCTGTAGTAGGTGTAGTAGGTGTAGTAGGTTGTAGTAGCTGTAGAAGCTGTAGTAGGTGTAGTAGGTTGTAGTAGCTGTAGTAGGTGTAGTAGGTGTAGTATCTGTAGTAGCTGTGGTCGCTGTAGTTGGTGTAGTAGCTGTAGTAGGTGTAGTAGGTGTAGTATCTGTAGTAGCTGTAGTCGCTGTGGTTGGTGTAGTAGCTGTAGTAGGTGTAGTATCTGTAGTAGGAATTGTAGTAGGTGTAGTGGCTGTAGTAGGTTAGTAGTAGCTGTGGCTGTAGTAGGTGTAGTAGATTTAGTGGCTGTAGTAGGTGTAGTGGGTGTAGTATCTGTGGTAGCTGTGATCGCTGTGGTTGGTGTAGTAGCTGTAGTAGTTGTAGTAAGCGTAGTGTCTGTAGTAGCTGTGGTTAGTGTAGTAGCTGTAGTAGGTGTAGTAGGTGTAGTATCTGTTAGTAGGTGTAGTAGGTGTAGTGAGTTGTAATAGCTGTAGTAGGTGTAGTAGGTGTAGTAGGTGTAGTAGCTGTAGAAGCTGTAGTAGGTGTAGTAGGTGTAGTAGCTGTAGTAGGTGTAGTAGGTGTAGTATCTGTAGTAGCTGTAGTCGCTGTTTGGTTGGTGTAGTAGCTGTAGTAGGTGTAGTAGGTGTAGTATCTGTAAGTAGCTGTAGTCGCTGTAGTTGGTGTAGTAGTTGTAGTAGGTGTAGTAGGTGTAGTATTTGTAGTAGGTGTAGTAGGTGTAGTAGGTGTAGTAGCTGTAGTAGGTGTAGTGGCTGTAGCTGTAGTAGGTGTAGTAGGTGTAGTAGCTGTAGTAGCTGTAGAAGGTGTAGTAACTGTAGTAGCTGTAGTAGGTGTAGTAGCTGTAGCTGTAGTAGGTGTAGTAGGTGTAGTAGGTGTAGTAGCTGTAGAAGGTGTAGTAACTGTAGTAGCTGTAGTAATTGTAGTAGCTGTAGTAGGTGTAGTAGCTGTAGTATCTGTAGTAGCTGTAGTAGCTGTAGTAGTTGTAGTAAGCGTAGTGTCTGTAGTAGCTGTAGTTGGTGTAGTAGCTGTAGTAGGTGTAGTAGGTGTAGTAGGTGTAGTAGCTGTAGTTGGTGTAGTAGGTGTGGTAGGTGTAGTAGCTGTAGTAGCTGTAGTAGGTGTGAATCAATGTGATGGTAGCTGTAGTCAACCTGTAGTAACTAGCTGAAGTTTAACTGTAGTATATGTATTAGATTGTGTAGGTTAGAACAAGTCTGTGGTACCTGGAAACATTGTGTTGTCTGTAGGCAAGTTTAGTAGAATGTAGTGAATGGTAGCCTGTGAAGGTGTAGTAGGCCACGCAAAATGTAGTAGGTGTAGTTGGTGTACACCCAGCTGTGGTAGGTGTAGTAGGTGTAGTAGCTGTGGTAGCTGTGGTTAGTTGTAGTAGCTGTAGTAGCTGTAGTAGGTGTAGTAGGTGTAGTAGCTGCATGACCTCCGTATTATTTTCGTGGCGAAAGCATATCTACAGTAATTTATAACAAAACAAGGCTAAGGCTATATTCCAATAGTATTCTAATAAACTTATGTTACATCACCTACATTTGACAAAGACAATGTTTCCCGGAGTAATGGATTACGACTTTGTTCATACATGAGTCAACGAAATTCGTTACCAACTTATTCACTTATAATAGTCGTTAAACTTCATGTGAAGTTAAATGCTTTTAAAGGTTGATTTCTTTTGATTTTTGGTACCATCACATTGATTCGTTGTTAGACTGAGTTGTTGTAATTGTTGTAATTGTTACTACACCTACTACAGCTACTACAGCTACTACACCTACTACAGCTACTACAGCTACTACAGATACTACAGCTACTACGCCTACTAAACCTACTACAGCTACTACAGATACTACGCCTACTACACCTACTACAGCTACTACAGCTACTACAGCTACTACGCCTACTACACCTACTACAGCTACTACAGCTACTACAGTTACTACACCTACCACAGCCACTACAGCTACTACAGCTACTACACCTACTACAGCCACTACAGCTAATACATCCACTACAGATACTACAGCTACTACAGCTACCACAGCTACTACAGCTACTACAGATACTACACATACCACAGCTACTACATCTAGTACAGCTACTACAGCCACTACACCTACTACAGCCACTACACCCACCACAGCTACTACACCAACCACTGCTACTACAATCTACTACACCTACTACACCAACTACGTATTACAATAACTACACCTACTACACCCCACAGTTATCACAACCTACTACACCTACTACAGCTACTAACTTACTACACCCACTACAGCACACCTACTACACCTACTACACTACTAATCTACTACACCTACTACAGCCACTACAGCTACCAGCCACTACACCTACTACCAACCACAGCTACTAGCCATATAGTTACTACACAAACCACAGCCACTACAGCTTCTACAGCCAACCACAGCCACTACAGCCACTACAGCTACTACAGCCCCACTACCAACCACAGCTACTACAGCTACTACAGTTACCACCACTAAGAAACCACAGCTACTACAGCTACTACAGCCACTACACCTTACTACAGCCACTACACCTACTACAGCTACCACAGTTACTAGCCTTCAGCTACTACAGTTACTACACCTCTACTACAGCCACCACAGCTACTACAGCTACTGGCAAACTACTACAGCCACTACACGCCACAGCCACTACCACACGTACCACAGCCACCACAGCCACTACAGATACTACAGCTACTACAGCCACACCTACAGCCAATACCCTACTACAGCCACTACAGCTACCACAGCCACCACAGTTACTACAGATACCACCCTCTACCAGCCACTACAGCCACCCACCAGCACTACAGCCAGCTACGCCTACTGGCCACACTACTGCAGCCACTACAGCTACTACAGATACTACAGCTACTACGCCTCACTACAGCTACTGCAGCTACTACAGCTACTACCTCCACAGCCACCACAGCCACTACAGCTACTACGCCTACTACACCAGCCACTACAGCTACTACAGTTACTACACCTTCCACAGCTACTACAGCCACTACTACAGCTTACTACAGCCACTACGCCTACTACAGCTACTACACCTTCTACAGCTACTACAACCTACAGCCACTACAGCTACTACAGCTACTACAGCTACTACATTACAGCTACTACAGTTACTACAGTTACTACAGCTACTACAGCTACTACAGTTACTACAGCTACTTCATGCACTGCAGGCACCACATGTACCTATACATGTAACGTAGCGTTCACCTACTACAGGTACTAGCAAGGCATTGTGGGCTTGTCGTGTATATGGCATTCAGCCATGAAGTACGCGCCAATCTTTGACGTATCGCGTGACCCTTATCAAGTGCCTCATTCCCAGACGCTGACGTCATGACAGAGTAACCGCACCTTACATCCGTCCACTCGATCGCCCGACATCTTCAGAAGCAAAGATCATACTTGTCATACTTCCAAGCCCTCAAACGCAGGTTTGTTTCAAACATGATTTCTCTAGTTTGGATTTAAGACATTCACAGTTAACTATGTGGTGTGTAGCCTTGTAAAGAAAGTCAATTTCGTATGTGTAAACTAACATATTCTTTCCATACTCAGTGATCATGCTCGCATTGCAGGATCATTGGCGTTCATACCGCTTGGTACAAGTTAAGCCATATAGTATAACTTCCACCCAGCATGAACAGAAATGATCCGTCGGACAATGCGAGTTTGATCACAGCGATGGAAGGGAAATGTCTTGAAATGTCTGATAATCCAGTTCAAATAATCACTGCAGGTTTCGCTTCGTTTCGCTTCGCTGTATCCTTGTGGATACAGGTTTGATTTTTCTTCTTTCAAAGTTCTTAGTTTTAACCTTCTTAAGTAATTGTATTTCTAGCATGATTCCAAAAGCCTCCAAATTAACCTGTCATCACAAACTCAACATTTCTTTATCGGTCAGTGTAAGACCCAGACTGCGGACCAGGGGTAAAATGCAGACTGTGTGTAAAATGCCGACTGCAGACTGAGAGTAAAACACAGGCTGGGGTAAATTGCAGACCGAGCATAAACTGTAGTCGTGGAAGGGTTTAAGGGCCAAAAAATCCCGCAAATAAATTTAAACAAACACTTTCTTTACGACATCTGCTTTCACAAATCCACTCCTTTCTTCTCTGGAACGTCGTCAACGACCCGAAAACATAATCGCAATCTTGAACCTTTTTTCCATCTGAGAGACTTCATGCTTCAACTTTAGATGCGAAGTTTTCGATATACGTGACCAGGGACCGTGAACTGGTACAACACCACAATGTTTACACTTAATGAAAGCTAACCCAAAATACTGTACAGGAAGAATTATGGAGATAAAAAGGGAGTAAATCATTCCAACAACAAAGAAAGATGGTCTGCAGGAAATTTGGATGACCTTGTATGAAAGTATTGCAAATCAAGGTACGCAGACTTGAGGTGTTCGGATGTTCATTGAAACTTCTGGCAAATGTGCAATTCACTTCGACTAGGAAGCGAAGTGTGTAACTGATACCGGCTAGCTATTTCACCGATTTGGAGAAGAAGGAGCACTAATGTTTAAAAAGTCTACAGTCTTTATTCTGCATTTTGCACCCAGCCTGTGTTTTACTCTCAGTCTGTATTTTACCCCTGGTCCGCAGTCTGCAGTCCGCAGTCTGCGTTTTACACTGACAGATTTCTTTATTACCATGCCGCTAACTACAAAATGGTGCATGTTATCTTTCATCATTGGTTACTCTGCGAACAGTCTGCTTCAGGCTTTCTAGATATGTCGGGAAGAGGAAGGAGACTCTGTTGACTGCCTCGATCAGCCTCCCTTTCAAACTAATGACCGCGCAAGTAATCATTCCAAAAAAGTGCAAATAACTTTTAAAATTGAAATCTTTAATTCTCGCCAAGCAAGTTTATAAATTTTTTGTCCCGTGTGTGTGATCTTGCCTTGGTTATAAATATCTTTATTTGTTTGCGCAAATGCAGTTACCTAGCAACAAGGCACTCTCCTGGTTGCTTTAGGGGCCGTTTAATGTCATTTACGAGGTCAAGAAATGCTTTTAGTGATAAATTTCAAGGGTAGAAGTACCTTTTTCAGAAAATGACATTGCCTTCAAAATAACCACGGAAATCGAGGAAAGAAAACATCAGTGTATGTTTCGCGTGCTACTTCGAGTTGTATCAGCTTTAATTTGTTGGGCATAATAATATGTCCTTTCATTGTCATGAAATGAGTTTACGGTGGTTTTTTACTGCCAATAGCCCAGTTATTTTCCTGAAATATACCTTTGAATTCGTGTTTAATACGGCTCGATCAGCTTCAAAAGGCATTTGCTGATGGAATTGCCATGGAAAACGTCTTAAATGAAAGACTTTTCACCAGACTTGCGCACTAATCCTTAGTCGTGTAGTGGTAAGGAGAAGTTGCGTCAAGCTGAAGATACCGGGTTCAAATCCTTCTTAGCACCCTTTCTTTCTTTCTTTTTGTTTTGTTTGCTTATTTATTTTGTGTCTTTTTTTAATTATAAGTTGTGGTTCAATTTTATCCTTGGTTTAAATTTTATTTTTTTTATTTCGTTACCCTCCTGATTGTATTTTAAATTAATGTTATGAACGAACAAACACAAAAGAATAGACAGAAATTATTTCTTAAATATTTTTATTCAAAATCCGTCAGTTTCATAATAAAACACTGTTAAAAGCACATCGCAAAACACTTACTGGATCGTGGATCCGTTCATGCAAATAAAATCAGCTGAACACATGGTTAAATCCAAAGCAAAATCCATATCAAATTGGGGTACATCTTCTAATTTTTCTAAAAGCGGGACTAGTGCTTCGCCGCAGTTTACTAAATATTAAATCAATAATTTTCTTAAAATCACTGCATGAAATCGAAGTGGCAGCCATCTGTTTTGTTAAGGAGTGTGGGTTAGAATACAATACATGTGCATGCACAGGTAAAACTGATTTATCCAGCATGAAACTTGTCTGACTCATCCAAATGGCGGGATGAACAGTAAATCAAAGGACTTTGAAGATGTCGGCAACGTCACTTCCTCTTTCCTAACTTTTCAAGGAAAGATCAAAGTGATCAACTCTGCTAGCAGGGTAATCATTGGTCAGTGGAACATTAAAATCAGCAAAGAGTCGAACTGCCATTTTTTTTCGCGCCATTTTCCTCATTTTCTTGTGGTGATTTACATTTGTATGGAAAAAAACCAGCCCTTGATAACTGGAAAATAGTTGCAAGAGCATCATTATTTAACCCATTCGCTCCTGGAAATTTTGCCGAAAAACGCGTTTTGAAGCTAGTCGAGTGGTTTTCTGGTCACTGTTGTGCTATAAAGAGCTAAAACTTACCACAAACCGGTTTACAGGTCGTACACTTGGCGGCCTTCTGATCCAGATGCAAAATATGAGCTTGCGAAGTTTGGGCATGCGCAGAAAGCAAAATTTTGACATAGTTTTTGGGTTTAAAAGTGACACAGCAGTCTTGACTTTTACTTTTCGCTTTCTCTCCACCCTTCTTTTTTCGCTTTTCTTGCCTCATTTTTTTTTCTCTTGCTGGGCATTTAGTAGGCTTCATTTTGGTGGGAAGAGATTTTGGGAAAGCTTTTAGGATCTTAGGATTAGGTGAAAAGAAAGGTAGGTGGGTAATGGAACAAGATTTTCATGGAGATTTTCAGGTCCTTGTCACGTGGTTTTTTGCTTCTTTCTCCGGTGTCCTTGACTGAATTGTGCTCATTCTGGTATGGTTTGAAAGATCTCTTCACTCTGCACAAGTTAGCGAAGAAAGTTGTCCTTGACCGTTAAAACTGATGACGTCACAAAGGGTAGAAAGGACCTGGATCCGCACGGGCGGTTACGGGCGGTTCAGGGGCGAATGGGTTAAACTTGTGTGAAAAGGTGCCAAATCCAGATTGTGGTCATTTGTGTGATCATGACTCGTGATGTTTTGAAGATTTTGAAGAGAAAGTCTTTTTTAACCAGAATTTTGCAAAATTTTGTTTTAACAGAACCGGCCGGCATGGTAATGTCCCACCTCTCAGATGACTATTTTTCAGGTCGACTGAGTGGGAACTTCGACCATTCTGTAGCTCATTGATTCCTAAAGTTTGCAGTGAATTCAGGTTATTTTAGAAGGTAAGTCAACCTGATTGGAGTTTTTCGTGAAGGCTAAAATATAAAAGATGTTCAGGGCCTTGGTTAGCATATAACATGTGCTGTTTGTCTAGCTGTCAATGACATCAATGTGCATTGTAGCTGATTAATGAAGTACATTCTTTCTTCCAGATAGACTATTTTTTGCATGCATGCATGTGATCATGAAGTGACATCAACGTCGGCTGTGAAAAAGTTAGTCTCCTTTGCAGCTGTTTTTAGGGTCGTCGCGCAAAGCTAAGCTTATTAAGTTTACTTAAGTGTAACTTTTGATAAGCTTACTTTCGTGAAAGCATTCTTTGTTTTAGCAGTATACAGTATCATGTATTACTGACACCTAAGTTTCCTGTTCAGGGCTTCTGATATTTCGTGTGGTCGCAGACCCGCGAAATTCAGGTATTTCCGCGAAATCCCGTGAAATTCCAAAAAAAAAAACGCGAAATACCGCGAAATCCGCCAAAAATATTTCCAAATACATGTCAGCAAAACATATTTAATACTTATCTTGGCTATTAGACCTGTTTTATTCACCCCAAACGTCTAAATTTATCTTGAAACTTCGTCACTGCAACGAGTATCAAAACTACCAGGCTTTCTTAGATTAATGTTGTGAAAAACTGGGCACTAATCGTAATGTTAATAGCTTTAGCATTCGCTCATTTTTCGAGCGAACTGTTGTTGAAAGAGCAAATGATTATCCCTGTTAAAAAACGTTTAACAACGCTGGTCATATCGATGCAAAATTGATTGATTTTAGCGAAATTTGCCAAAAAAAATCCAGCGAAATCGGCTGTTTTTTACTGATTGTTTCTTGGCAAATTCCCTCCCCCCCCCCCCGAAATTTCCTGTGAAATCGGCCAATTTTGCTAATAATTTGCCCCTGAAAAAATGTTTCGAAATTTGAATTTTTTCCACTAAAATCCACGAATTCGGCCGGTTTTTTGCGAATTTTGACTTTTCTCCCGCGAAAATCCTGCCAAATTGGCTGATTTTTCCGCGAATTTTGACTTTTTTCCCGCCAAAATCCTACAAAATTGGCCGAATTTTCCGCAAATTTGCCCCTGAAAATCCCGCAAAATTTTGCTTTTTTCCCCCGAAATATCAGAAGCCCTGCCTGTTAGTATGCTTGTACACAGTGATCTATTGATTTCTCAATTGCCTAATTCATAGTAAGTTCATATTGTGTGGTTCCAGAAAATATCCATACCCCCCCCACGGAAGGGATTTGCCGTATATGACCCCCCCTACCCTCTGGATTTTCCAAAATCGGCCCCCAAAATTTACCCCCCCTCCCCTCTGGAATTTCCAAAATTTTCGCACACCCCCTGGAAATTTTGCTATTTCTAATTATTGAAGTGAACAAAGAAGTAGTTTTGTTCAGTAGGATGCCAAAGTTTGTGAGTTTTATGGTATTTTCTGTTGAATTGTATTACAGATAAGCGAATTCCTTATGCGAACTCCTTATGCGCTCAAGTCACAGACAAATTAAATTTTGTGCGTTTCATTTAATTTCTGTTGAATTCTACAATTCTGCAAATGAAATGCAAGGTCGCGTACCAAACGCAACTGTACTTTTCTCACACTGCGTCGAGAAGAAAGCAACACTTGAAGAGGACGAATTTTAAAAGAGATCAGAACCTCGTCACGCGATAAGACAGTGTGAGTATCGAATTTCGTTCTACCAAATTTGCATGTTTGAGTTTGCGGTAAAATTGCGCGTCGCCGATTTCTTTGATATAAGTAAATTGTCATGCAAAGTTTAACGTGCTGGAAAAGACTCGTGTAACTTAATTCTTTGTGATAGAGAAACAGTCAAGAGAAGAAGAAATGCAACCAATTAAAAAAAAATTATTTTTCGTGTTTTGTGTTCTCGATCGACATGCAAGGAAAATGAAGTTTCGTTCTGCTGGCTCATAAACTACAAAAGCGTAAAAGATAAAAAATATTGTTTTTGGGAAACTTGTTGAAAAAAAAAACCTTAAGTATTGACTAAAACGTATGTCGATGCTGTCGATAATCGATTGATAATATGAAAGCAAAGATGGCTACAAAGGAGAGATGCGTAACTATTCATATATGATACATTTGTAAACAAAGTTTGTAACGTACGTGACCTGGAGAATGGGCAATTCCAGAAAATATCCATACCCAACCACGGACGGCTTCCATGTTTTAACCCCCCCTTGCCTTCGGAAATTCCAAAATGCGCTACCCCCCCATGCCCTCAGAATTCCATAGTCGTGAACCCCCCCTCCCCTTCAGAATTTCCGGTTTTTTTTGGAAGTACATTTTCGAATTAGCAACGCCTATAAGAACAAACGAACATGAATTTATGCCTCCTCAAGGCTGTGATCTAGCGGCGCCAGGTGACAAGCTTTACTCTTCAGTGACAAGAAAAACCTACGCTAGTTGCCAGGCCGTGCAAACTCCTTTTTAAGTCCGAATTTGGCTATAAAAATAAACACCACTTAAGGTAATTTTACTCCTCTTTGTTTTCTTGTGTTGTTTTGACGTTTACAAAGGAAAATAGCTCAAACAGACTGTTAAAATCTTTTGGTGGTCAAATATACCGTCGAGTTGTGTTGCGTCCTTTTATACGTCATGTAGTGCGCACGAAAAGCGTTCTAATCTGACAGGCGTTCCTTGGAAGTGAGGGACTGGTGCGAGTTTTTTACTGTTTATCGGACGGTTTCGGACGGGAGTAACAAGAAATTTGCAAGCGGTATTAAAAGATAAATTTTCAGTTTTTATTCATGTGACAAGAAATTCATCAAGGTAAATGTGAAACCAACGTTTTACTGTTCACTTCTATAAGTTATGAGCGTAAACACGTGTCTGATTTATCGATGCTTGTCTTCTGCTTCCGCGGTCATACGTTCGTGGTTTATTTACGAACTACAAAAGTCCACAACAATAGCGTTTTCCAGGAACTTACTCTACACTTTCTGCTCCAGAAATCCCACCTGTGGAATTCCCCCATACCTTCGGATTTCAAATCGTAAATACCCCCCCATGCCTTCAGAATTCCATAATCGTGAATCCCCCCTCCCCTTCGGAAATCCTTAAAGCCGTCCGTGGTATGGTATGGATATTTTCTGGAATCGCCCAATAACAGATTGTTCGACGCAAGTGGCTAACGACGAAATGGTTTTGGGATGGAAACTCGGCTAAAATTTATCTTTGAACAGATAGCTTCAGTCGCTCGAACAGTCGACAAATTCTTTTTCGAACGGATAGCCCGAGCCGTTCGAACGGATGACAACTTTTTTCAAACGGACAGCCTGAGCAATTCGAACGGATGACAACTTTTTTCAAACGGATAGCCCAAGTCGTTCGAACAGATGACAATTTTTTCTTGAACGGATAGCCCGAGCCGTTCAAACAGATACCAAATCTGTTTGAAAATGGCAAACCGTAAGGAACGTTTTCGCGTGAGAGGTCACGCCTAGGGACTGACAAAATATGTTCGTTATGTCCATTAATCCATAGGTTTAGTAGCTCTTTAACTTTCGTCGTGTTTTATATCTTCGCAAATAAATTGTCGTGGTAAATTTTTGTGTTTTTTCTTTGTTACTCTCTTACGCGTCACGAGAATCCTCTGGAAATATTTCCCTATGGTGACCCCCCCTCCCCCCTGGAAAATCCGATCCCTTCCGTGGGGGGGTATGGATATTTTCTGGAACCACACATTGTATAATTGCATACATGTATTTTAAGAAGACTAAGGAATTCTATGATAAGTGATTTAAGCCTCCAAATTGACTTGCTGTCTAATATGCTGTTTTTCAGTTTGAAGTTCAGTACATTAATTTGAAATAACCCACCATCTCCTTTATGTCACTGAAAAAATTCGAACAAAATTGACTGAAATTAAAATACCCAGTATATCTATGTAAAGTAAAATTACAGCGTTTGATTGGGGAAGGGAGGTCAGTTTTTGTACATATATTATTATCAGAAGGTTTAGAAACCTTGTGATTCTGCTATAATAATATTATTTATACAATAAGATACAATCCATTAACACTGATTGGCTAAGAGGTGTGTTTGCATTAGACTATGTAAGGTGAGGGTAAATGGCAGAATAATATTTTATTTTGCGGAATGGAATGTGGTATGACTTGCAGAAATAGCATAATTATTCAAAAATTATGTAACATGTACAGAATGACTCAAAGTAATTGGTATGTAGATAGACAGTCAATCGTGACTATAATAAAATTCCCATATGGCTATCAGCTGTCAGTTTAAGTGGTAATAGAACAGTGTAACAGGACCATACGCATCATGCATAAGTTGGACAGTGTGCGCCATTACATGCGAGCACTTAAATGCTTTTTTTCACTTGGAGCAAAAAACTTGCAAACCAAACTCAATTTTTTTTAATCAAAAAGGCATTATAACATTTTCATTTTTTACAAATAGATTAGTACAATACCAAGCATTGCTTAACAGGAGATCACTTGTGTTTGTTTGAGGATTTATGCTTAGAATATATAACCTTACCATGAGAGTATTAAAATTTAACTGTTTACATGAGATTTTAAGTGCATGATATCTTTCGTCAGTTTTGTAGACCAGCTTCAAACTACCAAGATACTGAAGATGCTGCCCTGTGATATCACAAGATTTTAAATACACTGAGTAAATCATACTTGCTCCTGAAAGTAAGTTACTCAGCTCTTTGTGACCTCTGTCATACACATGTAGGCACTCTTTAGCTAATGTAATGAAGTTTCACTATATATTGAGATCATTACCTAGATCACTATTTCCTTTGATTCTCCAATACACTGCTCAATAGTCAAGCCTTTGTTAATAATGGATCTCACCCCTAAGTACACACTTAGGTCCTTAGCCAATAATACTAACATTGCAATTTCAATGGTGAACTTTTTTACTGGAAATCTCCCCTCCTAAATGAAGCTTTTTTGTGGTCCCTGCGCCACTAATAAACACTTGATTTTTAATTGACCTTTGTGAAAACATGGTTTTCTCTCCTAAGTCAACACTAACTTTTCGTGGACCCCGTGTGGGAGGGGGGGTGGGGGTACTCCAGATTTCAAGACAAGACAAGAGAAGACAATGCTTTATTTGGAGTCTTATACAGTCCTATGCACATCGACTTTATCCAAATAATTTAAAATCATAACACACATATGCATTGCACACTAGTGGAACTATGATCAATGTTAAGCAAAAGAACTAATTAATGCTGTGTTCATACTGGCCCATGAAAGTAAGTTCATCTTCCTGTTGACCTCTGCTATTAATGTGTGGGTATAGATACATCTCTGAGCTAGAACAATCTGATCCAGCTTTCCACAGTCCAGTCCAGTACTGGTTTGTTCAACATCTCTGTGAATTCTCATCATGTACCAGCTATGAGTTAGTTTGTCGATTTCTTCTTGACAAGTTCTGTCATAAAGCTTCCACCAACTGATTGACATGTTTACAAACACCAGTACAGCATACAACCAGTGTTAATGTCCCTTTTCCTTCTAATGCCTTATGCCAAGTGTGCCTTATTCAAATTTCATGACTTAAATTGTACCTCCTTCAGCTCCATTGAATGAAAGTTAAAACAGTTTTTTGCAAGGATAGCTTGGTATATTGTACATGTAGGTTGACATGCTCTTTTTTCACTTTATTATTTCAGACGTTTATGTCAGTCAATCAAAACATCATTATGATCATGTACCTGTAAAGTCTGCAGAAAACTTTAAAAGTCCAGGTAATTCAGATAAATTTTACAATGGTTATCTACACACTAGAAGTTTTGATGAATCTGTTGTAGTTAGTTTTTTAACTCAGGTAATTTTTGTTTTTCTTTCGTTTTTGGGTATGTTAATGTATACTTAAATGAAGTTGAAACTACAGTGTCGATCCACATACAAATATGTTATATTTCCTAAAAGAAAAAGTTGAGAGAATTTCCCCTTTGGTGATCTATTTATTAATTTTTACAACCTTTTCTTTTGATGATGTATGGATATAATGTTAGGAGAAGACTGATGTTGTTACTTTTGGATGGGACTTAAAAGGTTAAATAATAATTCTACTTAGTTCCTTCCTCCTATATTTGAACAGCTTAAGGAAAATGTTTTTGATTGATTGATGTGTACATGTTCTGCTTTTTAATTTACCCACTTTCTAGGGACACTGAGACTCAATGGCACAGCATCAAGAACGTAAAAGAAAAGAGAGTCCTTCTTGTCGGGCAGGAAGACGTCATGTCCCTCCTCCTCTTAGTATCAAAGTACCTAAAATGAAAAATCTTTCTAAAAAGTCAAAACCTTGGAGTGATGTTCAGCTTCCAGTTGACATTCTTTTGTTGACAGTGGAGGATTGCGAGTTCTTGGCGTGCTATGTGTACCTAAATAATCCCATTAAAAGCTACCACAATAACCTTGGATATGTGTACTTTGGTACCATTGGTGAAAGTGGAGAGGAGGTGCTGAAAGTTGCTCTGATGAGATGTTCTAAAGGTTCTTCTGGTCCAGGTGGCTCTCTAGTCACTGTCAAGAATGCAGTTGCTCAGTTGAGGCCCAAGGCTGTTTTTGCTGTTGGCTATTGCAGGGGATTGAACCCCCAAGACACCAAGCTGGGTGATGTAGTGGTATCCTCTAAGCTTACAACTGAAGAATTCTCAACCCCAGTGAGAAAGAATATTGGCAACCTTATCTTGTTTTCATCTGAAGGCTGGGATCCACCAACAACAGCTGAAGAAGAAGTAAAAGTGCATTCTGACAGTGAAATTTTTAGTGGCATCAATGACCCAATCAGTGCTAAAAAATGCCGTATGAATGCAGCTGAAAAGGAAGGGGAAGGTAACATTTTTTGTTACTTATTCATTTTATCTCATTAAATAATTATTAATCTATTCAGGCACAACTGTTTGTTTGACATATTTCCAGCCACATACTGCAGGTCTTCATTAGATGATAGTGTCAAAGACCTGCATGCAGTGAAAACATTGTGATCAAGATCTAAGTGACATTATGGTGAAACAAATAAAATCCTTTATAATTTTGCACACATTAACCGTGATGTACAATATCTTTCATGACATGAACAATAATATTTTTGTAGCATTATTATGTGTTCTGTTTTTTTTTTTGTTTCTCTTATTTAAACATGTAGGACTGTTTGCTGCAGCCCATGAAGTGAATATTGAATGGGTGATTGTTAAAGGGATATCACATTTTTCTGATGATAGCAACACTCCTAATGAGTCCTGGAAGTCATTTGCTTCCATCATGGCAGCTTCTCTTGTGTCCAACATGTTAAGTGATCCAGTTGTTTTTAAAGAATGGCCTCACTATGAAGGTATGTAACCTCCTTTTCCTGTTTGTTTATTAATAGTGAATTTTCTGCTGAGATATATTTATGTATCTATTATAAAAAAAAGTTGAAGTTTTAGTTAAAAAGGTTATAAGATACATGGACTACCACAAATTCTACAATATAGAAGATGCTGTTTTAAAATTCTTTAACACTGCTAGCCTCTACTTCTCCTTCACTCTCTGAAAAACTGTTAGAAGATAAAAAAGATGCACCATGTTACAAGAAGATAAAAGATAAAAGTCTGTTTTGCTTACAAAAATTAAAGAACAGGACAGTTAAACTCTTTTGTTTTTGTTGTAGATGTGTCAGCAAACAAGGATTCCAGAACCTTACCAGGTACTACTCTGTCCAAGTAAAGTTATAAGGAATTCTAGCAAACTGAAGTATTTATTTGTCAATATGTTTATAGTACAATTAAACCACCTCTTTTCATCTTTACACAGTCTGTACAATAGTAACAATTCTCTTACTTTTGTTGAGAAGTAATGACCTGTATATTTGAAGCCTTTCACCTCTTGTCTACCAAATCTTATAATAGTATCTGAATGTCACTCCTTTTAATTACCTTAAAAACAACTTGACTCCTTCGTCGTATCTCAAATCTAAAACCCCTCCACCCCTCACCGCCCCCACCCCTTCCCTTAAGCAGTAGATAAATCCATTGTGTAGTTCCAGAAAATACCCACATCTTCCCTTGGGGAGGGATTCTTTCTAAGAGCCCTTTGCCCTTCTAAAAGTTCTTTGACCCCAGGAATTTCCAATTCCTTCTGTGGAGGCTGTGGAGAGAGTATGGAGATATTCTGCAGCTACACATTTTGCTAATTATACTGCCAAATCAAATTGAGCGTTCAAAACTCAAAACATGTTTTTAAGGATATTAAAAAATGTTGTCTTTTTTCTTAAATAACCACCAAATCATTAGGACCATTCCAACAATGACGTCTTTGTTTTGTGATTTTTCCCCAAGTATTTTTGCAGCCTTTACCAATATATATATCCACTGAGTCGATTGATATCTATTCACTTGACTTCTCAGTTTTGCGAACAAATTTTAAGACCACTTTGAGGCCAATTTCTCACTATAACTATATAGCGCAAAACGTCTTCAGCGGCGAAGAGCGAGGAGAAACGGATGTTTTCGCAGGCTATTCTTAACTATGAATCTTTTACTTTGTATTAAGATGGAATCCTTTGGTAAATTGAGTAATTTTTTATTTTCAGTGGACAAAAGCCTTGTACAAGAATAATTTCAATCGTTGCATTCTTTTTGTAATGTAATGTAATAAGTTATATGAAATAACTCCAAAGAAACAGTTCTTATGGGAGCCGGGAAAAACAAACTTTAAAAGCTTCAAATTTCATAAAACAGGGCTCAAAATTAAAAAAATCCTCAGGTTGTCTTCTGGTGACCAACTGGAGAAATATTAGTGCCACATGCAAATTTTTAGTCGCCAGTTTGTATAATGTAAATGACGCACGCAACTCATACTATGGTGCAATCTATCAGATTTGATTGTTTGAAAATATCACGGACAGAAGTCAGTATAAATTTGGAGGTAAACTGACTTTGTGTATGTGATTTGGCACATTTTTTATGACGAAAGCAAAGCAAGGTAAGATGAAATGTTTGTTTAACTTTAATCTTTTACTTTAAATCTAAATCAAAGAGAAATCTGTTTGCTAAAGTGCCGACTAAACCAGAATTTTTAGTTGCCAAGAAGAAAATGTTAGTCACATTGGCGACCATTTTAGTCGCAATTTTGAGCTCAGCTAAGGCTGCATTCATTATGTATACTGTGGGGGGCAGGGGGGCAGAGGATATTTTTTAAATGGGGAAAATTTTTTAAGATCTCCCCCATATCATACAGAATTTGTTCACAACACCCCTCCTGACCAAAAGAAAATATTGGCAGTCTTGACAAGGACAGAAGAGGATATAAAGGTACAAGCACTCTACTTTTTTGAGGCCCAAATTCCATCTCAAAGCACTTCAGCAACAGAGGGAACTGACTATCTTTAGTGGGGATACTCTTGATCATGTAGATTGTGCTATTCATTATTTAGAGAAGCAAAGTGTTTTTGATGTGGATGTTGATGATGTTAAATAACATTCGTCACCACCGACACATTTTTCAAGTTGTGTATGCTATTTGAGCCACCAAGCACTTTAAGACATTCAAATGTTATTTGTTTGCAAAGGAATACTAATATGATAAAATACTTTGTATGGTTGTTATGTTAGTTTGTAGAGCTCGGTTTCAGTCCATTTATTAGTCTTGATTTCAGTGGCAACTGCTAACTGACACAGAAATATTGGCAATTTTCCAGATAAAGAAAGATTGAACTTTTCATTGAAATTTTGTACTTGTAAATGTGCTGACTTAAAAGCAATATTAGCTTTATAATAAAAACACTTGACTTTGATATTAATAATGAAAGTCCTGTAAAGTGTGTATTTATAAAGCAAGTAAGCTAGCAAACTGTCTTCAAGCATAGAGTTATTAAGATGGCCTTCTTTTATCAAAAACATCCACAAAATAATGCTTGCTTTTTTAATAAGTGGAGAAAAAAATTTAGCAACCCCCACCCACCTTCATCTGTCAAAAAATCCTCTTCTCCCCCTTGCAGTATACATAATGAATGCAGCCTAAAGAATCTTATGCATGACGATTTTACCTGTGTTTTTTCAATTCCTGTGAAATTTGAAATTTGTTTTCTCGGGCTCCCTAAGGATCTTTTCTTTGGAGTTATTTCATATAACTTAGTACATTTATAGCCCTTGAAAAGAGTACAAAAGAATGCGATATGACTTAATTTATTCTGCTTCATGTACAAGGTTTCTCTCCACTACAAGTTAAAATTACCCAATTTCCTAATGGGTTCCGTCCTAATTTCCTGGGGGTATTTTTTTTTTTGCAAATGTTCTCTAATGCATTAGTGGTTAAGAAATAATGTGTGGTTATGTGAGGCCCATATCATCAGCCTTCTTACATTTTATTATAAAAGGTTCTTATATTCTCCCTTCCCTCACTTTCATTATTAATCAAATGTTTTCTTGCATAATGCTCGGTCGTTAGTTAAATGGTTTCTTAAGGCTGCCTGCTCTTCAAAGTGAAGAAACCCTGGAATGTGCATTTTTTTTAAAAGTATTTATTTTTATCTGATCATATTTGCAAGGTGGCTGCTTTTTAATATCCCTGTCTTAGATTTGGTGTCATAACAAAGAAATTGTTTAAGACTTGTTGAAAAATTCTTGCTGACAGATTCCGTATGCCTCGAAGAGTGCCAGAAAAAGCTGCGATCCCTTTATGAAACCAAAAACAGAGTCAAAATCGTTCCATGGGAACAAACCTCTGCTGTTGATATTAACAAGATCTACACAGACTTGTCCTGGGTTATGGATCACAGGACACCCAGGGGAGTGACAAAAGAAGAACTTAACCACTACACTGAGATTTTTGTCCGCAGAGAACCTCATCCTGCACCAAAGCGGATTTTGGTTTATGGACAGCCAGGTAAGTGAGGAAGTAAAGTAAGCTAGCATGCAGGGTCTTTATTTAAGTGAAGAGTGACCACATGATAGCTGCCAAAGCTAACAAATGAGTGGCCCTCATTACACAAAAACAAGAAAAATGGTAACCAGCAAAATAAATCCATACAGGATGTTGGAGAACACAGTCTGTATTAAGCTTGTGTCATGTACAGGCTTTTTGAGTGTTTTGCCAAAATCCCAATTCAAGTGGGTTAATTTATTATAATTGTTGCCAAAAACAATGGAAAGTTTTTTCCTTTTGCTTTAGTGGATAAATTAAACTGAAAGAGGAAACAAAGTTTTTCTGTTGTCTATGAGTCTACCAGTTAAATTTAAAACAATTTATCTGGTTATAGAGCAATCAGAATGTGTGTAGGCTTCAGTATTTATGTATTATTATTATATAAACACCAATGAAATACCAAGTGAGCTTTCGCGCGAAAACTTGACATCTTCAGGTGTGAAAATAACATGTTATCTTCATACGTGGGAAGATGAGAGACCCTGGGAACGAGGTTGACGTGAAAATATCACCGTTGCTATGGCTTCATAATAAACCGCGCCTTACAGACCGAAAAATGCTTTGGTACTTCATTGGTGTTTATATAATAAATAGAACATTACATGGTCACTTGGAGATACCAAATTTCTCTTCTTGTGTTAAAAAAAATATTTCACTCGTTTGCTGCGCTCACTCGTGAAATATTTTTCAACACTCGAAGAGAAATTTTGTATCTCTGCGTGGCCATGTAATATCCTCTATATTTATGTTGTGGCTCAATTTTATCTATAAGTTTCATTTTCTAAAATGTACAATCAAAAACTAACAAATAAAAATAAAAATTCATCCAAGGAAAAATTAAACTACACCCTTTACTATATTGTTCAGTGTCAGTTTGATGTCAGTTATTATTACAGCACTCATAAGCCGCAGGTGAGAGTTTGCTGTCACTAACTGCAGATTTTACTGATACAACACTGCCATGGAAATTACATTGTGGATCCAAATATTCTTTTTTTGCGAGTTACTTTAGCCTGAGTTGAATCAAAGAAAGAGTCGCATATTCAGTGACTCATTAAAAATTCGTTTCTTGTGTCCTTTTCTTTCATGTTTATCTTCATATTTATGAGTAATTTTAAACTACTCATTAAAGACCTTTCTTTTTAAAATAACATACGCTGTAGTTCCATTGTATTGTTACTTCAAATTAGATTTTCCTTTGTTACAAACCCACTTATCACATTACTATGCACTCAAAAGCGGTGGAGGAGAAAATCTGAGATACTGTGAATATAAAAGTGACACCAACAGCGATGAATATAACTATAATCTTGTAATGATAATAAGATTGCAGTTCTTTAGACAAAGCTAAGAATTCCAAAATCTATACTCCCTTTTGAAGTTAAAAAACAATCTTTTTGGATTAACTTAGGTGAAACCAAATTAAAGACCCTCCATGAAAAACAGACTAATGTAAGGCCATCCCCATAAAATGTTTCGTTTCCCATCACCCTCCCTCTCGTGAAGGTGGGTCGGTCGGTCGGGCAAAAAAAAAAAAAAAGAATGAACACATGATTGCATATTAAATCTCACGTTTAGTCTGCAAGATATAATCAGATGGTAAAAGATGTATATTAACAGGACTATCAAATGTCTAAAAAGGCTACAAAAACGAAGTATCGATGATAATTTAAGACAAATGGTGTTAATAAGACAAGATCGTGTGCTTATAAATTAAAGTACTCGCTTCTTTACAAGTGATTCTGGAATTTTTTTTTTACTTTTCCAAAAAAATGGGTCGGTCGGGCGATGGGAAACAAACCATTTTATGGGGATGGCCTAAGCGCATTTTAAAGAAAAAGTTAAAAAATTCAGAAAATTCCGTTGAATAATTTGACACTTCTGTCAAAAGTCTTCTTAAAACTGTAGATTCAAGAAGTCCTCACAATTTAGTTCATGTTGCCTCCTAGGTATCGGCAAGACTGTTTTTACGCAGAAAGTCACTTTCGACTGGTCCCAACAGAAATTTCCACAAACATTAGGAGCGTTTGATCTTGTCCTTCTGGTAAGATTACGGGACGTTTCTAATCTCCAAGATGTTCCGTCCATTTTGGCGGCTTCCAGAGCGCTGGCTAGTGATGGCACAGTTTCTGTCGACAACCTGTATAACTACGTTCGTCGCCATCAAGAAAAAGTCTTGCTTATCTTGGATGGTTACGATGAGTATGTTTACACTGCTGGAAACCAATCGCCTGTCCTTGAAATCTGGAATGAAAACCAGTTAAGCAATTGCTGTGTTGTAATAACTTCAAGGGAAATGAAAGCTGAGACGTTGAGAAGTTCTGGTGATGCTGTTTTCAAGATAGAGGGCTTCAATCATTGGCGTCAAAAAGACTTCGCTGGTAGATTTTTAACAGATGGTCAAGATGTTAAAAATTTTTTCAACTACCTGGAGCAGCAAGACCTAAGAAAACTAGCACAAATTCCTCTTCTTCTTCTAATTATGTGTCTACTCTGGAAGGGGAAAGATCGCAACGCACTGCCAAAGAAACGCGCAGATATCTTCCCTCAGTTCGTGAAGACTTTGTTTCATCACATGGGCGAAAAACAGTCTGCTGAATCGGTGTTTAACATTGAGAATTACTCACAAGAATTATATGCATTAGGGCGCTCGGCCTTTGAAGCTCTCATCAACGATTGCCTGTATATCCCGAGAAGTGAATTACCAAACTACGATCTGATCGAGAGTTTGATTGAAGTGGGCCTTTTTCAAGTTTTGAATATGTCAAGTTTGAATCCTGAAAAAGGTGTGTATTTCATTCATAAATCCCTACAAGAATACTTCGCGGGATGTTTTCTGAAAGAAGAACTGATATTATCTAAAAAGAATAAAATTACAAATTCCCTGTCAAAGCTGGACTCGGTTGAAAAGATCCTCAAAATGAATGAAGCGTTAAAATTTGCTGGTGAGCTGTCAGAAGAAGCCGCGCGCGAGATTGTGATTCACCTGATGAAAATGGCGGCGAACAAAGAAGGACTAACGAAGTACACCTTCGACAGCGAAGCACCGTCAGAGGAGGATTTT